TGCAGGACACCGGCCCTCGAGGCCTGGAGTTTGACACCTGTGACTTACAGCATTCCCACAGACTGTATACAAAAGATGGACTTAACCAGCGTTACTCCACTGACTGGTTTTTAAAGGATTTGGTTCAGCAGTTTGGCCATAGCTATCTTGAGTAAGGTTGAATCTGACTGAGGACTCTATGAAGTTACACTTGTACTTGTGAAGACATGTCCTATAGCAGGGGTGGGCAACTCCAGGCCTCGAGGGCCGGTGTCCTGCAGGTTTTAGATCTCACCCTGGGTCAACACACCTGAATGAAATGATTAGTTCATTACCAGGCAGCTGGAGAACTTCAAGACATGTAGAGGAGGTAATTTAGCCATTTAAATCAGCTGTGTTGGATCAAGGACAGATCTAAAACCTGCAGGACACCGGCCCTCGAGGCCTGCAGTTTCCCACCCCGTCTTATAGTATACTCTCATTTATTGTCTATTAAACTATAAACTGGACCAAAATTTACAAAATAAGGAATTGAGACCATAAACTCATTGGAAAAGCATTTATGATAAATTGACTTCTATATAATTGGAGTCCTTTTTCCAAACGTAGCATTTGCCCCCTGCTGGTCAGTGCAAGAAATGCAGATTTATGATTTCACAGGCTAAATCCATCTTTTATAGAGAGAGAACATCTGACATGAGCAGAAATATAAATTAGACAAATAAAATTTTAAACAGGTGTCTTCTGACTGTCGTCACAGCTCAGGGCTGTACAACTCAAGTCATTTTTGCACAAGACATTCTGAATGTGCTCAAGTTACCCCAGTTCAATACACATAAACAAAGATTTTCATCTCGCTTAATCTATATCCTCAGGTCAGAGTTCAGAGTCCAGAGGGAGACACAAAGCTGATAAGTGAGAGCAGTCAGCGGCGACTCCTCCAGCTGATTAACAGCAGGTTCGGGTGTGGTGGTGCAACAGTTTGGCCTCACCTTTTGCACACGTCTTGTGTTTATGCTTGAGAGAAGCTTCCATGCTTCCATTAACACAATACCTCAGGCTGTTTAAGCTGCCCGGTGGCACTGAGTAATTGATTTGCTCGCCTGTAATCCTGCTGCCTTGTTTGCTTTAGAAAACAATAACCGCTTATGCAAATGTACATTAGTAAAAGCTCAGGAGGCCCAGAGATGAATCCCAAAATCCATCCGTACAGCTGACACTCGCAGACTGATAAAAGAAAAGAAAAGAAAAAATGGAGGGACAGACTGGATGACGTAACATTTAATTCTGATGGAAAAGTAATGAGAAGGAAAAGTCAACACTTTTGATTGTAATGAATCCTGTCAGGGTGGGAAATTAATCATCCCCATCTGGACTGTGCAACTTGGTGATGAAGAGTGACGTATCTTTAAGCGAGGCTGCGGAGCTCGAAGGGAACGATGACTCCCATTTCCATATTAATAGCAAAATCTGATTCATTTATTAGGTGACAGTGAATTTATTCTTCTTATTCACAGAATTGCTCCTTTTAGTATTTTCACCGTCTGGAGGTTTTAGTGGTTTACCCTCCTTGCACTGTTGTTGTTGCTTTTGTCATTTTCCATTGCTTTATCAAGCCAGTCTCTCTCCTGTTCTGACTCGGAGTCACTGGCCTCGCTTGCGTCCGCTGCCAGCAGGCGGGAATAGTTAATCCTGCGGTGGTGGGGGGCTTTCCACTGGAGCAGGGGCAGGCACACACACCACACCATCAAAACCATCGCCAGTCCTCTGAACATCCACGTGAGCCCGATGCTTTGAGCCACAAACCCTCCGGCCAAACTCCCCAGTGCACTACCCAGATGAATAGAGAGGGACTTGTAGACCCTCCTGACGCTCCTCTCAGCCCCTGGTGTGGCGATGTCCTCACACTGGAGCTTCACGGCCCACCAGAGAGCTCCGCTGCTGAAACAACTCAGCACCTGAGCAGGCAGTGCAGCCCACGCTCCCCAGAGGAAGGAGTAGTAGAAGCACTGCAGGCCGAGACTCACGGCTCCAACTGCGAGCATCCTCCTAGGGCCGAGCAGCCTGGAGACTCGACCAGCCATCAGAGGGAAGGCGGCCTGCGAGAGCAGAGCGAGGGCAAGAGATAGTCCCATGTGCAGCTCACTGCTTCCGCGATCCTGCATCTGCCACAGGAGGAAGTTGTCGATGGCCGAGTTCGCCACCCCGACCAGCAGGGTGGTGAAGACGCAGAGCACAGCCTGTGGGGAGCCGCGCACCAGTTGCAGGGCTTTCAGGAGCCCGCTGGTCCTGTTTCGCTTCTTGTTCAGGTAGAGAGGGAGGGACATGGCCAGGGGCAGGACCAGAAATGCCAGGCCGGCATAGCAGTAGAAATGCACCACACTCCTTGAGGTCTGAGCAGCTATGAGGCATGTCAGTCGGCTCACCAGCAGGCCGGTTACCCCAACCCCGCATGCTGCTCCGAGTACACCCCACACCCTGGTGTTGCTGTAGCGGTCCGAGGCATCCGCGAAATCTAAATATTCGTAGAGGCCGTCGTCTACATTCCACTCCAGGGGTGCGGATGCCGCCTCCCACACACACATGATGATGAGTATCAAGAAGAAGAGCTGATGCTGAGTGTCCATCACGTTTAGGCTGCCCAGGAAGCCCAAAGAACTCTCATCCTTTATCTCCCCTGTTTGCTGCTCTGATTTCAGCTCAGACCTCTTGTTTCTGACCGGAGTTGCCAAAGAGCTGCTGGAACTTTCAGGCACCTTTGATTCATTCTTTTGTGGCGCATAAAGAAGAGGAGATTCAGTGGTATGACTGTGATTGTGATGATGATGAGGTGAAGTTTCATTTGTAATAACAGGAGCTTTCCTATCAGCATCAGGAAGAGGAGTGACAAGCGACTGGGAAACATGAGGTTTTGGATGGGATGTTACAGGTCCAGTGATGTTCACTGACAGTACATCAGATGGATTTTGGGGCGGGCCGTCGTGCGGATCCGAGGCGTTACAAGTCCATGCGTGCATATCCGTGTGCGGGATGAGCAGGAGGAGCAGAGCGGCTGCTGCCGAAAACACGACAGAGCCGCAGATCACTGCTCGTCTCTTGTTGTAGTGTTTGGAGAGCAGGCTCGCCGCGGGGCTCCACACCAGCGTAATAAAGTGCTTGGTACCCATGACGATGCCCGTCATGGCAGGAGTCAGGCCAAGCTGTCTGAAGTACAGGGTGAGGAAGGGCAGCAAGCATGCTCTAGCGCAGGAGCACAGGAAGTTAAAGGTGCCAGCCATAGCGAGGGCTCGCTTTATGTCAATCTGCTTGATCCTCTTCATGTTTGAGCAGCTTAGAGTCCGTCCTGCTAGCTGTCACATGGAGCGATTCAAACTGAGAGAGACAGAGAGAAAATATAAAAATGTTAGTGCAGACATTTCAGTCTTTTGATACTAATACATTCTGAAAAGGCATCAGAGTTTGAAGGGTTAGGGTTAGTATTCATGTTTAGACTGCAGTTATTTTCCTGAATCTGCTGTAAAATCTGTAATATCTCCCTGAGATATGGGTTTATATCTTGCCTGATACAGGTCAGCGTGAACGCCGCACACAAGAATATGTTTCGGATCGTTACCTCCGCCAAGTCTTAAAACTTAGAACCTATAAATCTAATGAGTGTATTGTGAACATACAGAAAGTCTTGTACAAAGATTTGACCTCTGACCTCTCCTTAAAGAAAGGCAAAATTATCTAAAGGTCAAAGTGGTAATAATGCTATATAAAGCTATTTAAAACTATGTTTCTTCCTGCCATTGTTTATATTGACAGCATATAGATATACAGGGATTCTAAATATTACGTTCCTTTGACCTCTGACCTTTTCCAAGGACAAATAAAGTCAAACTTTCATAAAATGTCTTTTATCTTCAGAAGTGTGCTTTAGGTTCTGCTGACTTTGTTTGTATTGGCAAAAATGAGGAAATGATACTGGTGTATGAGGACTCTAAATAGCACATTACAGTTTGCATCAAAATATCAGTCGCATTTGACCTCTGACCTCAGTTTTACATTTTCAGATCTGCTTTTTTTCCCCAAGTTGACCCTAGAATGTGTTAAATATTTAAAGAAAGGATTGTCAAGATGCCAAACTAGATAGAAATACACTTTAGTTTAATATTATATAATAAGCTCAAGTTATTCATGTCCAGTCATTTAGAAATGAATCCATTACTTGCTCACAGATAACACCTGTGCAGTCAAAGTAAACACCTGTCATGCTGTCCTTGTATAGCATTTAAGAAATATTAAATGCGGACATTAATTTTAGTTATGTTTTGTCATTATGTTGGCCATATAGAGTTGTTTAAATAAATAAATTGAAGACTCCAGCGATTTATTTCTGTTCTCAGGTAATAAAATGATTTCTCGTGCTGTTCCTAATGCGATAGAGGCCCTTAATAAATGAGTTGAGGGCTGGCCCTCGTTTATTTCGCTGTAGCTCCGACAATAATAAAGTATCTGTTTTTATAGGAACTTATCCAAACTCACATGCGAAGCAGACAGACTCAAATGATCACCCTACAGCGACTTCATTGTCTTTGACGAAATAAGATGACACGAAAAAAACGAGGAAATGACAGACTGTCAGGAAACAACCCGTCAGGCTGGACGCACCTGCAAGATGTGGAGGACTAGTCCACGTCACGCCAACTTTAGAAAGGAAGAAAAACAAAGTTTAACATTTACCTTTTAAATTCCGCCCAAGTTCCTTATCCTCTTCTCATTTCCCACCCGCGACTCCGACAGCGAACTCCAGGGTTTGAACCTTTGTTGCTCTGAGCTCAGGACACCTGTAGCAGTCGGGTACGCGCTCAGCTGCAGCAGCGGTGCGAGTTCACACCTGTAGGCGCAGATTCCCACGACTATAGCTCCTCCTGTTGGTGTGGATGCCCGTGTGCACT